AAAGAAATGAATATAGAAATAAAGAAGTGAAGAAGTAGAAAAGTAAGGAATAGAGTTATAGAAGTGGAGAAAAAATGAGGAAAGAGATAAATAAGAAAGTGACCAATGAACGATAAAGAAATATGAATGTAAAGAAGAAATAAATATAGAAAGAGAAAAAGGTTGAAAATGAATAAGAGTAATGATTCCAAGAGACCAGTATAGGAGACCGGCTCGAGGAAGAATGAGCGCTCGGAGTCCGGGCGCTGCCTTCGTCGCTTCCCCCACTCTCCCCCACTCACTGAGTCCTGCGCGACGAAGTTGCGCGCACACAATTTTGGGTAACTTCCAGTACTTCTAAATATGCTTGGCCAGAATTTTCAATTTCTAATTTTTAATATTTTACTTTATTGATTTAATCAATTATTTAAATATTCCAAACACCTAATTTTTTAATATTTCATTTTGAACGTAATTTATTTTCGATATTCTACAATTTCAATTCAATTTTCATCTACTCCGTATATTCTGCGAGACTTTGATTTAGCATACTTCTCAAGAACTATTCAGGAAGCCCATTGATGAAACATTTTCCAAAAATAGAGGTGCTACGCAATTCTTAAAATTGTCTTAAAAATGTTCCAACAATAGGCTTTTTCAATAGTTCTTGAGAAGTTCTATAGTTCTCGGTCTCGTTCTAAGGGTTGCTTTGGGACCAGCGATGAGTAGCGGAGAACCTCTGCCCGCCAAGCTACACGTTCGTGTTCACGTTTTGCTCGGCTACGACGGGATTCGCATTGTCGACGGAGGCGATCATCACAAAATCCTACTTCCAAACTCGCCGCTACGATTTAGCGCCATGATTTTGGTATCACGTAAAACCGTAGCGTTGTGCATCTCCCTACTCATCTCTGTCCAACAATTCCACTTTCACCTGTCTTCTAATATTACTTCCTGACCGCAAAGAATGATAGGTAGATATCTTTATGTAGCTGTCCATCTCAGCATTAGTAGACTGTACTGGCAATTGCCCCATGAGTACAGATATAGGCGATGATCTGGAAAGAAGATCCATCTCAGCATTCACTCAACTCTATCGGATTCGGTGTATAAACTCTGTATGTTCACACATTGTTTTATATAAGGCCCGTCCCGCAAGATATTGGTATGTCTGATATAGATGGTATAATTGGGATTTGTTGATCTTGCGACATTGTTTTATCGATTAGTTCTGTTTTTGTTTCTGTTAATTCTCCAATTCTTTGTAGATATCGTGAATAAGCTCTAGTGACAGGTCTTGTCATGGTATGTACTTCGCCATCTAGTGTGAACTTCCAATTCTGATTATATAAAACCAATTATTGTCACATGTCCATTGGTGATGCAGCCATAAGAAAAAGAAGGAAGAAAAGAACCTCGGCACGTCCTGGATTGAATTTCGCGAAGTAATAAACCAAACAGAACGAACTGGAACTATAATTTTATTAAATGTAGCTCGTTCATTAGCCAACGTGCCCGGTTATTAAGTAATTCGATTCGTAAGCAAGGAACAGATTATATCTAAGGAATAAGAGACTGTAAGATACGAGGGAAAAAGAGTTCTAAAAATAGTAGCATGCTTATAACCCTATTTATTTTAGATCTCACTTCACGTTCCTGATCGCCACACAGTATGAGATTGGGTATACTAAGAAATCGATTGGGCAGTTTATATAAATATTACAGTGTATAGCCTTAAATGTAAATACTAACAATGCAGTTCAAATAATTAAAAACCAATTTTTTCCACATGATATAACGTACACCAGGAACTGCAATGCCAATCGAAATAATCATACATACGGACAACGTATTTTCACTGCTAAAATATATTTTTTTAAATCCTCAACATACTGCTGACCATTTCATCAGATATTCAGAGATCAGAAAATTTTTCCTTCGGCTCGTAAAAACTGACGTACCAGTTTGTCCAAAAAGAAAAAAGATTGCTAGAAAGAATCTTTTATGCGCAACATGCATATCAACTCCATCAAAATTGCGACAAGCCACAATCGCATCGAGTGACGTATTTCAAACAGCCTGGTGTCTGTTATCCGAAACGTTCTTCGACGTCGTAATCATGCATACTGACCACCGTGCCAAGCGATCAGGTGTATTCAGATAATAAAACAGAGATGCGTGCAGGCGTTACAATAAATTCTATACCTAAGACATACGCCCTTCTAACCCATCCAATATATTTCATCGACCCCAATATCAAAGACAAAGGCACCTCTAACTTTAGAAACTAATTAAACAACCTTTCCCCGAACTCCATAATCAGTTCCACACAGTCACTGTAATCGCTCGTGCCGTAATCCTGCGACGAAGATACTCGGTTGCGAGTAGAAAAATCTTTGAAAAATATTTTTGCAATTCTTTGTACAAAAAGTAATAGTCAGTGAACTTGCATGACGATAGATGAACATTTTTTACTCAGTGCTGCCTTATCCTTTGTCCTATGGTAGGCATAGCTTATGGCAATATCTTTATTCCGTCCGTATACTATATTATGTCTAGAGGCCCCTCAGTTATGGTGTAAATAAATACTCCGTATCTTAAGCCCTGCTACCATACAGTTCAGTTCATTGTTTCAGGAACTTCCGAACAGATAGATTTCATACAGTGAAGCGATGCAGTCGAAACGTCATTTCAGTTGTGATTGAGCATTGAAGTTGACCAGGTGACCAGGACAGAAAAATTGTGTCGCCCCATCGGTAAGCCGAGTATAAGACATTCGTTAATTTATTGAAGGTATTATGCTCCGTTTATCGGTAGGGAGGCATGATAATGGCCATCGAGGTGATTGTGAAATTTGTACTTCTTACTAAGAACAAGTGAAGCCGTTAATAAAAGGAATGGTAGCGGTTCCCACATTCTAGCATAATTGCCATGTGTCTGATAGGTATTATGCTAAGAATGTGCGGTATCGCGGATACATTCCGCTTCAATAATTGGAGTAAACTGTGCTCTGTTGGTCTGTGATATTGAATCGTGAAATTTTGTATTTATTGCTATCTTGAGATTATAACGTATACTATACTGTATATATATAGAGGTTATCATTCCGTGGCCTGTACAATTGCGTATATGTGATTAATCTCGTATTATACATGAACAATACAAATAATAGATCTTGAGAACATTACGAAAATATTAAGACAGTTTCTTGTTCGTGATGAACGTCATAAAACGTTAAAAAGGTTGCAGTGAGTGTCTAGTTAGTGTTACCCGTGAAAAATTAATTATTCGAAACTGTGTAAATTTTACAATTTTTCATTTTGGTAATTTTTCAAAATAATATCGTTCAATCGACTCCGGTCGATTTTTTAAAATAACAATGAAAGTTGCTGTTGTTGGAGCTGGCGTGATCGGTGTGACTACTGCTGTGATGATAAAAAGGACATTTCCACATTTGTCTGTAACTATTTTTGGAGAAGTCTTTACACCAAATACCACGGGCGACGGGAGCGCAGGACTTTGGGGTCCTTATATTCTTGGGGATACACCGAGTGAAGACGTGCTGTGAGGAAAACAAAAATTTGTCACTTGAAAATATATTTTGGGGTTATACACTTTGCATTGCTTGATATTGTTTTTTTTTTTTCTAATAAAAATATATAGCCGATGGGCCGGCGGTACTCACCGTTGGTTGGAAGAACTGTGGAGATCTGGTCTTGCACCAGAAGCTGGAATTTGTTTGGTGCCAGTTTACAGAGTCACAAGTGATTCAAAGGGATATCCAAAACCTATTTGGTCGTCTTTGGTTTACGGTTGTCATGAATTGAGCCCTGAGCTTTTGAAAAAAATTAATATTGAGCAGAAATCCAATTACAGGTAAAAATAAAAATTGTATTTAATTTTGAAATACTTAATGTGAGTTTCCACGAAAAATTATTTTACTAGTGGCGGATGGCATTTTTTAACGTATACCGTCGAGCCGACACTACTATTGCCGTGGCTGCTGAAAGAATTCAAGACGCGAGGCGGAATTGTTATTAAGAGAAAAATTAAGTCGTTCGAAGAATTCAAAATGGAAGGATACGACATTATCATAAATTGCAGTGGACTCGGTGCCAGGATACTGGCTCAGGACACGGAGGTTCATCCGATCAGGGGTCAAGTTTGCAGAGTAAATAATAATTTTTCAAAATGAATGTTTGCGATATGCCTTTTTTTACAATTGCACAATTTACTACAGGTCGATGCTTCCTGGCAATTCGAAGTGCACTTGAGCGACGATGATAACGGAAATTATATAATTCCAAAGTAAAATAATACAAGTACACTATACCAGTGCTAGGAGCAAAATTATCCAAAAAATTTTTTTTTAGCATGAACAGTGTCGTGCTTGGTGGTACTCACCAAGCAGGTGACTATAATCTTCAAGTTTCGCAAGAAGATTCAAATTTCATTCTCAAAGGATGTTATAGAATGTCGCCGGCTTTGCAGAAATCAAGAATCTTGAAAGAATGGGTTGGGCTTCGTCCAGGAAGGATGCAAGTTTGTTTGAAACTAGAAATTCTGCGAAGCAAAAATGGAGAGAATTATTTAGTAAGTCATTATTTTCGAAAAATGCTAATATTACAAATTAATTAATATTATTTTTGTAACAAAATTAGGTGATACACAACTATGGTCACGGTGGTAGCGGTGTCACTCTGAGTTGGGGATGCGCTCAAGACGTTGTGAAAATTTTGAAAAAAAAAATATTTGCAAAATCCAAATTGTAATAAGATGAGTATAAATAAAATAAATTGACCTCTCACTAATTGCAGAACATTCCATCGGAATCAAAAGACAATTAAAAGATAAAATATATATCGCCATCTGTTGGCCGACGTGAGAAACTAATTTCCGAGTAATTTCCGACGTTCCCGAAGACATTAGGATAAAAATTGACGATCGAGTTTATGGTAGTTTTTGAATTTTGGAATGGACTATAAATTACCAATGGCTTGGCCATCGTAAAAGAATCCTTTGTGCATAATATAAAAGGATCGCCCCGACACGGATATAGAAAAATTATGTTCGATATAGGATCATGAATGGAATTGCCGGCGGTACGAAAGGTTTAATAACGCACGAGGAAAGGATCTTGTTACAGAACGAAAATCAGGAGAGTACGGACTCCGAACGTCAAGATGAAGAAATTTCGTCGAAGTGTGCCGAAAATAAATCACGCAATAGGACCAAATCGAAAGCTCCAGGTACGTCTCGTGCAAAGAGACATAAACAAATAGAGACATAAATAACGAAATGACAGATTAAAAACCACGTATGAAAAATATTCAGAGAATTCTCAGTCGGAAATGCAGTCAGAATGTCAAAAGATGGATGACGAGGTGTTATCTCCAAGTAAAATACACAAGAAACGTAGGCACGTAATAAATTCTACGCGATACCTGCCCCTAGTGTTTTGTACCAATTGAAATTCTGTACCAATTAGATGTTTGACAATTTGCACGAGCAACTGCAAGTACGAAGTTGTACGTCGCGTGGCTGCCAGATTCGGAATGAAGGAAGTTACGGAAGACAGTAGCTGGAATCTTTATTGGACGGATTTGAGTATCAGCATAGAACGCGCCAAAGACATGAAAAGATTTCAAAAGATCAATCATTTCCCGGGAATGACGGAAATATGTCGAAAGGATTTGCTCGCTAGAAATCTAAATAGAATGCTGAAGCTGTTTCCGACGGAATATAATTTTTTTCCAAAAACTTGGTGTTTTCCAGCCGAGTGAGAATATACCATAAACCGCTATTCTACTTGTACGTATCACTTAGTAACCATAACCTACATTTTCTCAATAGCCATGGCGAAGCTCTAGGTTACTCGAAGCTGAGACGTTCCACAACTTTCATAATTAAACCGGATACCGGATGTCAAGGACGTGGTATTTATTTAACGAAAAATCTTAAGGATATAAGACCTTACGAGAGGATGATTTGCCAAGTTTACATAGCCAAGGTAATTGGAAAGCAAGTTACGCCCCTGGTATAAATTCGTCGTAACCGTCGTTGATTTCCAGCCGTTTCTGATCGACGGATATAAATTTGACTTGCGAGTTTACACGCTTATTACTTCTTGCGATCCTTTGCGAATTTATGTGTATAACGACGGACTGGCAAGGTACGATATATTCGATACTTAGCCCCGAGAAACCGTCTATAACCTATTTTAATTAGTAAAATTCAAAATAAGGTTCGCGACAAGCAGATACAAAGAACCAACCGGTCACAATACCTCCAATGTTTTTATGCATCTAACGAATTATGCTGTAAACAAGCACAGCCGAATGTACGTCGTGGACGATGAATCCGGGAGTAAAAGGTTTGTCCTAAGAAGGCTGTTTTAATGTGTAAATAATTAATACAAGCAATGGATTTTGTATCCCGTAGAAAAATATCGAAGCTAAACAATTATCTGAGAGCTAGAGAAGTTGACGTGGATGATATGTGGTGTAAAATCGATGAGATTATAATAAAAACAATATTAGCAGCATATCCCATATTAAAGCACAGTTATCACACGTGTTTTCCAACGCACGATTTGACATATGCTTGTTTTGAATTACTGGGATTTGATATTCTGCTCGATTGGAAATTAAAGCCTTACTTACTTGAGGTATGTTCATTGTGCGTCTAACCCTCTATAGCCTGGCGTGACTTGGAAGTCATACTGATAAATCGATATCTTATTGATTTATTTAATATTTTACGGCAAGGTAGCGTATACAAAATTACGAAGCATATTCTTCATAATAAAATCATTGAAACTAGTGAATTCATTGTTAATTGGTATTTAGAGATTGACATTTCTTAATATCACGTTACACAAATTCGGGCTATAGAGGGTTGAAAGGAAGATATTTGGATTAAATAGTGAAAAATTAAATTATTTAAAACTAGGTTAATCACTCACCCAGCTTTCACACGGATGCTCAAATTGACAAAGATATCAAGGAATCCTTGCTCAATGACACTTTCCACATGCTGAATTTCCATGAATGCGACAAACGAAAAATAATCGAAGAGGACAGGAAGCGCGTTCGGGAAAGACTGTTGCAAGGTATCGGATCGAAGGACCAAAGGTAAATGATGTGAAGGATAAATATAACGAGTAAACGAAAAGGGCAGAAATAATGGTTGGTATCACTGTGTTTGTGTACAGCTTAAACGATAGTTCCGTGGGTCTGACAAAAGTCGAAAAACTCGATGACAATTTTGAAAAACAATTTAAGTGGGAGGCCCAGCATATAGGAAATTTTCGAAGAATTTACCCAGGACCTGGAACTGAGAGATACGAACCGTTTTTCAAGCAAACAGGCAGTACGATGTTTCAGGATACAGCAGCATCCAGAGCAAGAGAAGAGGCATCTAAAATACAAAGAGAAGAATCCGAGGTGTGCAATGGAATTTTCTTCAATCTAAATCCCAATGGAATGTTTAATTACGTACTTTCCTTGTATTCCAGATAAAATTAAAAGAGCAAAATGCTAGGAGGGTTCTTGGAAAGTGGACCGAGCAAAAAGTTCGTCCCGAGAGTCCAGTAGGAATGAAGAAATGTACAAGCTCGTCAATTGGTCCAAACAAAAGTAAATTGATAACAACAAAAAAGAGTCAACTCAATATAACGGTTTGTTTTTCATCCTATCGAACAATTCTTTTTTACCGTCAAATATTAATAATTCATTATCCGTACACCAGTTAAAGAAACCCACGGTACCAAGTAACAGTTTATACTCCTTCGAACCGGAAGTAATTAGCGACTCCGAGGAAAGAGAACGTAAAAATGGAATAGCTCAAAGAGACTTTTTGATTAAAAGTTACGGGATGTTGGAGCAGATCTACATAGCTTTAAAGCAGCATGGCAATCTCAGACCGGAGGACGAAAAGAAATATGGTCTTTATGGGAAATTGGGTTACGGCAATGATATCCCCAAAAGCATATGCACGTTAGGACGAAAAATGCATTATAACTACGAATGCAATCATCACGTGGACATTAAGCAGGAAATAAGTGAACTTAACAATCGCAATTGCGAATACTTTGCAAAGGCAAGTACACTTTGAGTATGAACTGATTAGCAGGATATGAGACGTCACATTGGATTCCGAAGTGTTTGACGTCTAAGAGAATTTTTCCTTTCTTTTTTTGGTTCAGTGTAGAAAGATGGCGGAAGGACGGGAGTCGCATCCTGTAGATAGAAGTAAGTACATATATGTATACTAGAGTGTCAGTATATATCGCATACGACAATGGATAACGCAATATATTATTTTATCACGTAGACTTGAAGATAACATGCACTGAGGCAACATTTTACACAAGACCGAATTGTACGATAGAAAAATTGTGCAGCGAACACGACAGGGATGTTCGTATTAACAGAGGTCAAAGAGCACGCACCTCGGCGAATTGCGCGAGAGGAGACAGAATGACGTAGTCGAATTTACGACCGTGAACCACGATGATTCCCATGAATGCACTTTTCCATTTTCCTTTACATCACCTCTTTTGTACATAAACTCCTAACCGGAAACGTTGCGATTCCATGCACCATGGTTCTTATAATGTATAACAACTTTTATTGCTGATATATATTTTTGTATTCACATGATAAAAAATAAACTATGAACAATTTGTTGCGTGTCGAGAGGCGAGACTCCTCTTGATTGCTCGGTCGAGTCAAAATTGTAAAAGTATAAATCATATAACTCGTACAGTAGACATGTCGAATTTTCATTAAATTTTTATAAAGACGCAAAAGCCGATAGTACACAATAACGAAAGTTACATGTTTTCTTATTCCTTTTTCTCTGTAAATCTTCCAAATGTACAGTTGGCGCGAGTGTTTCGCTTTTTTTTTTTAAAAAAAAAAGGGGATACAACGGGGGGTAGGAATATCTTATTTTTTTTCGATATGGCGGACAGGGTCTCGATTTCGAAAAAATGAAATGCAGCATGTTCTTTAAAATAAAATTAATAACTCAGCCGGTATGAGAAACACCCAACAAATCGCATCTAATCGACGATCGATAGTTCCTATTTACAAAGTTTCTCTTCATTCTCTCTCGCATTTTCTTTTTAATCAAGTGTTTTCCATTATTTTGCGTGTATTTCCTTTTTTTCTTTTCTTTCTTCGTTCGTCGCTCGGAATTCGTCTTCAAGATATCGCAACGCCGATCACTCTAACGGAAATAAGATTTTCCGTTGGATCCGATGTACCGAAAAAGTAAAATCGCTCGCTAATTAAAATATTTACATAAAGATACAATAATGACAATATTTTCTTTTCTTCCTTTCCTCGTTCTCCTCGTCTTAATCTTCATATTCGTGTGGTTCTTACTCTTTCTTCGATCTTACGCGAGATACACTTAAGTTAAATGTTTATTAGCGAAGAATGCCCTTCTCGATATTTTCAATTTTCGTCTTCACTCATTCATGCTTAATTATGATTCATTTCCTTGACACGTGTGTTATTCCTGTCGAAACAGTCGACGGTCTTTGACTTTCCTTCTTCAGACTTTCTCTCTGTACTTTCATTCACTCGAGCGAAGGTGGTGCAATTACGAAATCCACGAAAGGACAAAAAGAAAGAGGTGGCGATGATAATCTATTCGTTGTAATACTAGTGATGAGCATCATGCAGTGTGGAATTTGGTGTGTCGATGCGCCTGCACGCGTGATCAATCGCTCTATGTCCATTTTAAGAGAGAAATCAGAAATACGACTAAAACGTTAAAAGTAATGAGAAAAATAATTCTTAGTCAAGTTTAAAACGATAAAAATGGCTACGTTCTTTATATATATTTTTATATATATCTATATACTCATATATATATAAAAAACTATACAAACCGCGGACACCTTAATTTCATAATTAGCTGCCGACGGGAAATTTTTTTCTTGTTATGTTAATTTCTCTTCGTTTTCCGCCCTTCTCCACCTCGTTTCTTTTGTATCAGCCTAATCTTTCTTTCTCTCGCGTTCTATTTTCTCTCTTCATGGCTCGATGGTCTATGAAAGTTTTCCATAGAAAGAAAAAAATATATATATAATTATATATTTGTATAAATTATAAATACATACACTGTTCAAGTCGATTGAAATGTAATAAAGTATCCTGCGAATGGGATTATTCACCGTTTTGTATTGAAAACATAAAATTTCTTTTTCTTCCATGAAAAACGTATTTTGACCACACTTCCATGAAGAAAATAGATAACGATACGATTACTTGCAAAACCGTGAACAAAAAAAGTTCCAATAAGGAGAAGATAAAAAATTTTCAAGTGTTCTTATTCTCTGTTAATGTATTCATCGGCGAATCTTAATTCGCAGAGAAATTCTTTCTTCTTGCGTTTTTATACCTACTCGTGCTGTATAGTCGCAATTCCTCATGATAAACAGATAAGGAACGAGAATCTATACATGATTGACAATTCAGAAATAGAAGATTCCTTCATTTTGCATCTCTTCTGGTTTATCACTCATTTTCCGAACAAAAAATCACGTATTTCTCTTTCACTCGGCCTCGTAACGATACCTTAATTTCTCAACAAGTTAAAGCTAGAAAGTTATCAACAAACAGCATGTAGTGTCCGTAACGTGTATAATGTGTGTTCTATGTGTATCTTGATTACTCAGGTCCGTCCACTTGGTGTGTGCGTAAAAGTGCCCGGATAGAACCGAGATTATTATAAATCAACGTGAATTTTAATGGTCCTAGTGGTTTCGTGGGTGATAGGTATGCTGGTCAGGATGGGAACTGTGATAAACGTTAACAAAGTGTGACTCGTACGCCGCTAGGACGACGGTCCAAGAAGTGTTATGGCTTGAATTTCACCAGGGGTATGTTTTTCGATTGCAAACACTTGTCGCACACCCACTCCGCGTAAACTTCTTGCGTTAAGAGTTGGTATGCGGCCTCGGAAAGGCCGGTGCATCCTCTGAAAAGAAAATGAATAAATGAAGAAGGTCAAGCTTGGTTACGTAATAAGGATCACCGTATCAAGATGAGATATATAAATGACGTATTCGAGGAATATCACAGAACTTACCTATGGAACCAGAAATTACATCCGGATTCGCAGAGGATCGCTTGGTCATTGTCGTGGACTTCCTTGTGACAGACTCCGCAAGGATAGATTGGAGGGGCGTTAGGATTTTGAGGGTTGAAAACCATCGGCTGGTCCGGGGGATAAATCTAAGAGAAATAAATTCACCATGTTAAGGCTCATTTTTATTAGTTACTTTCGAGAAAATCATGATTTTAATTGCGACGCTACCTTTCCTGCTGACACTGGCATGGGCTTCGGGCCCATTCCTGGTGGCCCTTGGAAACCATGTGGTGGCATAGATCCTCCCATATTAATAGGATGTCCCATTGGAGGCCCGCCGGACATATTGCTGGACATGGGACCCATTGGGCCACCTATATGTCCCATTTGGTTGTGATGACTGATATTCATGTTCGACATGTTGTTCATTGGTGGGCCCGGCATGTTCATGTTATTCATTTGATTTGGCCCTGACATGTTCATGTTATTCGATGGCATGGAACCCATTGACGTCATAGGTCCGTTCATGGGCCTGCCGAGATTGCTAAGATTATTTCCCATATGCGTGGGATGTGGTTGGGGCCCATTATGTCCCAGTGGACTGTTGACGTTGTTCATCGGAGGACCGTTCAATGGACTGTTCGGTGGCAAGTGACTGTTCATGTTATTCATGTTCATTGGGCCATTTGCCATATGATTTGAACCACCCATGCTGTTCATAGGCGAACCGAGAGGTCCACCCATTGGACTTCCCATACTATGGCCCATATTATTCATGGGGCTTCCCATGGGCCCACTGTTCATACTGTTCATAGGACTGCCCATAGGTGGCCCACTTAATTGAGAATTTCCCATGTGACTCATATTCATGTGATTGTTCATGGAATTCATGGGTCCTGGTGGCATATTGGGACCCATGTTATTCATAGGACTCATACCGCCCATCGGCGCGTGGTTCATGGGTGACATTCCTCCCATATGGTTCATATGGTTACCCATCGGAGAGTTACCCATAGGACTCATGCCTCCCATATTATGAGGAATCATAGGGCTCATGCCTCCTATAGAGGCCAGGGGACTCATGCCCCTCATGGGAGGGCCTCCCATGTGGTGAGGGTGATGTGGGTGTATGTGAGGCGGACCACCATGCATCATAGGGCTTTGGGTAGTTTGCGGTGGAGTATCGTCAAATGGATTACTTGCAACTATCGTATCCCCATAACCAGTTAATGGAGGAGGTAACAAATCCTGAAATGAAATTATCATTGATTTTCTGTAAGCAGTTTATATATTTATTTATAGTATTACCTGTACAGTTGGGGGTTGCTGAGGAGGTGGTTGCGAGACATTCGCATTTGTACGTCTCTTCTTCTTGGGATTAGCCCCAGCAGGAGGTGGTGGTGGAGGATGGGGGTGAGCTGTGGGCTCTAGGTGCGGGGCATTAGACCCCATGCCTACCCCCATACCCATACCCCCAAGTGGCATCCTTGCAAAGGGTGGCATGCCTGCGATATTGTGGCTCATCTCCTCCTCTCTCTTCCCTTATTTTATCATGCCTTGGGAATACCACGATGGCTTCCAATATTATCTTAGTATCCTAGAACTGTGTACAAAACAAATTTGATTCATTAATACATATTTAATAGAAATATTAAAAAGTTTTATATTGCTTAAATATATATTCTTATAGCATGATTAATATGCTACAGTATAATATGTTACAATGATACATAAAATATAACTCTATGAAAGTAACTCATACAAATAATAAATGACAAATTATACTCATGTGATACATAATAATTTTATGTCAATTTAATAAAATAAATATCAGTATAAACTCAATGAACGAAAAATCTAAGATTTCACGTATTTCCAAATTTTGAAAAATCTAAATTTCTATAAAGTTTCCCGTGAATGATACCAAAGAACCGAGTGTGTTAAATCCGATGACATTATTTACACACAGAGGCACACGTGAATGTGCGTACGCCTGTAGGTATGAGGGACCCAAGTGTATTTATACATACGTACATAAATAAATAACCGGAAAGGAATAACAGGAAAACCAGAGAAGAACTCCAACCTCGCGAGCGTGATAGAGAACTATACAAATTTCATGAAGAAACAGCGCGGATTGACGAAAAAGGAAAGAAAAATCTTTGGAAGCGAGTAGAGAACTAGAGATCAACCTAACCTACAGATTTTTACGTCGATCCCGCATAAATTATCCACACGTTCGCCACAGGCACGCCGATGGCGCCGCGTTCATATTTATGATATCCACAGAATACTCTTAATCACATAACTTTTAAAGAAGCTCGAAAACTCACCAAGGCATTATAGCCGGCAGCATCGAACGGTAGACATAATAAACGCTGTACTGTTTTTTTTTTTCGGTAAGGAACCAACACAGCGCGATTGCTGTCGCGCGATGGGACCCAGTTTTCTCGTGAGCGCGAACTTTTAATTCAGCCTTTTCCGTAACTATACGTCACTCACATATTTCGTAAACGGAGCCACTGTTCGATTTCCCCACGATACTTCACCGATATTCCCTTGTGTCCCTACGGGAAACTTGTTGGGTAAACGCACGCCAGCCCTTCAAGTCGCCATTGTCGCGCGATACGCGTGTCCCTGCGCTCGCCTTTTCCTCTGTGTGTTGCTCTCTTTTTTGATACCTATTGCTTTGTCCAGATGGCGCTGCTGTCGCTGCATTCCTTCAACCTAACCCCTGTTGCACTCGAATGTGATATGCGGCTGTCCCCTGTATCGGGATGCAGATGGCTTTTTCGAAGATCAGATTGGTTAAGGGTGGTCTTATAGGTTGTTTAGGCCCAGAATGGTAAGACAGGGGGGATTGACCGGAGGGTACATTTTTATCTTGCTCTTTGTAGGCATCATCCATGGAATAGCTTCTATAATATTATTAGTTATTTTGTGGTCTCTGGAATATTTGTTGCAGTCAATAAAAACCATATTCCTGATAAATAAAACAAAACCGAGGTTAATGAACGGATATTTTATTGTAAAAAGAAATTCGTTGGTATGCTACAATTACGTACTTTTTATGACTGTGACTTGCGAAAATTTTCTGATAAAAAATGATTAAGTAGTACTGAACAATAAAACAACAGGATTTAACAACGTTCAATACCAAGTTACGGATCTATCCGCAGAACTACTTTCTTCTGAAGTGTAAGAACAATACTTTATTGTAAATCGATTTGTTTTTAATGTTAAGTGTTTACGAACAGCACCCTCGACTTGGAACGGTACGGTATCGCCATCTATGATTAGTTTTTACAACTACAATCACAAAATTAATTTCAGACTCTGTAAGCAAGGCAGTAAGTGATGTAGATTCCTTCCTAATAATAATACACAGCGCCAATGGATGTTTCGAAAGTTAAATAATTGTCGAGGAGTTCCTAAATTAGCTATTGTAAAGTCCCAATTGAGAAACAGGAAAAGCCACTTAGGACCCATGTTATTTCGAACTGTCAACAATCCGTATACCGTACGATAGGGCGGATTGCTACTGTAGAAAAATCGTTAACCGTGAATATAGGTCTTGCGAATGAAGGTACGTGATATGGTGTATGTGGAACAGTTTTGCAAGAAAATACAGAAAAAGGAGCGAAAGATGCACAGTCAAACAAAAAGGAAATAACAAGAAGGTAAGATGGGACACACGATGTGGCAATTCGAACGCGCGTCGTCTCCGAAATGGATTTGGCAAACATTGTAATGCCAGTGAAACAACAAAACAACATATTTTCAAGGAATCAATTGGAAGTTTCCCTCCTCGAACCGCAACCTCTACTACCAACACTGTACGTTCTATCTACTGTTACAACCAGACTACTACGCGTGTGCACATACGCGTGTTTCGAATAAGAAACTAGCGATTTGCACAAATTACAAAGAGCATTCTGGTAGGGGTGTTAAAGGAGACAGGTACTAGTGCTAACAAATGGAACAAGAAAGATAGATAAGGTAATCCAATGGATCATGCCTTATGTACGTGACTTCGCGAAGGACTTCTTGCGAAAAAAAATACAGTTTCATGCATGTTCCCATAATTTTAACGTTGTTCACGTTACTTTGTCACAGCTTTTTTAACAGATATGTATTTGTTTGGCTACGGTCGCGGTCTATTTTTGTGGATTAAACAATTTTTCGCAATGATCTTTCACATGACGTCTCATAGTTTGCCATTTGACTTGTATCGTGCCTTCACGAACGTTCTCCTTTCGAGTCTCTGATTTTCGCCCCTCCTTACCACAGAACGCTACGTGCAATTTAATCGAAAGGATGCGTTAATCGGCGATTGGCTACAACACAAAGAGACTTCGAAACACTCGATTAAGCGCTACTGCTCACAGAACTGAAAATAATGATCGTTCGAGCGAATAAAAGGCTCTGGAAGATAGGTTGCCTCGTTATACCGTTATACACATAGTTATGTTGGTAGATGGATAAACTCTGTCGTATATAGGTATAATTGTGATACAGAGTTAACCATAGGAAATAATCTGTTATCATTCTTATCGCTTTTTTTTTTACCATATGACACAGCGTCGTATATTCTTTCACAGCATCTGAATTCCTGTACTTTCTTGCTTTCTCTTGGATGAGATTGCGTGAACTTTCACCTTACTTCCGTAGTGACGGAAGCTGTATTCTACGTCATAGCGAGTACCGGATGTAAATAAAACGAGTATTAATGAAAAGTGCCAATTGAGCGTAACAAGAAAAAAAAAAAAAAGAAAAGCGAGAAAGTTCTGGTAAAACATGTACAAGCTGCTACAACTAATTACTATATCTCTTTTAATATTTATTTCCACTCCATTCAGTAAGAGGATCTTAATTTATGTTGCAGTCTTTTCCAAAGGATGACCTATTCTGGATATCTATTTTGATAAATGTCAAAGACACAATCCCATTAAAAGTTCTGTCTTACTTTCAAAGGAACTATGCTTCATTTACTCAATGGGGAAATCTACGTTTCCGTTGCTTCCCGGCATTAAAAAGTATTTGTCACTCCTGACGATCGTGAGTATACTGTCAAATCAGCAAAGTGGCAACTTGCCAGTCTATTGGTATTTTCCCATTTCCTTTTAGTACCCAGCATCTTTCTCCATTGTATCTTTTAGATCTGAACACAGCGATCATCAAACAGAAAACTCTCACAGAGTTCGAAGAATCGCCCAACTACCTGGTGATACCTGGAACAGGCAGGAAAGCGAGATAAAGAAAAGTTTATTCGAGTGAAGAGAAAAGAAAAGGATACGAGACGCATACTCCTCGCAGGTCTATAAGTATACTATAGTGTCTTCACAAGTAGAGGTGTATAGTATCGTGGTACGAGGGTCTCTATAAATTATGTCGACTGTAGACTCACTTTCGTATTTACTGTCGAGGAAAGGAAGGGACGTAAAGCCGTGGAAGCCACTCCAGTCAGTGCGTTGGCAGATTTCAAGCCGCAAGGAACGTCTCTGAACTTCTGTAGAAGATAAGAAGAAAAACAAAATCAGTAGAACACTTGGACAAATCTAAAAGATACACTTGGTGTGAGATCTATTGAAAAAAAAGATCCAAGAAATACGTACAAAGAGATATATTTATTTACTGGAATCATCAATATAAATTGGGATCAAGGATAAAAAAGAAAAGAATTGCTTAATTGGAAATTGCATCGCATTCTTTGTTACGGCCTATTGATACACAACTTTCACCATGACTCTAATCAAGGTGAGTGACATGCAACAAGTGCTGGGCAATCTTCGTATATTCTATTGCGTGCATTTTGAAAAATATGTTAAAAAAAGTATGAATAGCCCTCGAACGTTATATGCAGAGTCAAAGTAAGAGTATAAATGAACGACGGTAAAGAAGCTAGGTAAATGATGCTATTGAAGTAACGTTATACTGCGGCTTTGGGTAATTCGATGAACGAGGCTCGTCAAATTATATAAATTATAAAGGTAGACCTTACGCATTACATAAAGTGAAAATTAGTACTTGATATAGTTGAAGAAATATTGTCTTATTTCTTTAAACTTCTTTACAGGGAATCGAGTGACCTTTCTCATGATACATTTAAGAGGATACCCGTATTGGACTCATAATTAACTATAACTGTGTACCTCCTTCTTGGACTATAATATCTATTTTATTTGGTACTTCATTACCTTTATTGGTACTTTACTCACGGGGACTTGGGCAAGGATGAAAATTCGATATACGCCATTAAATTCTATTTGGCAAAGAACTCAAGAAGTTTCTGCTGAGAAAATTCTATTCTGTAACCGAATAATGTTTCGCCATTGACCCGATTACCGGTATTGGGTTGTCCGTCGTGAATTTAATATCTTTTTTCTTTTCTCTTCATATTGGACCTTTCCATCTATTTCTTTATTTTTTTTAATAAATATCGTACTTCATTATCTTTTGAAAAAAAAGGCATCAAAGAAGTCTATCCACTTTTAAACGTGCATTAAAGTCACAACCCGGGTCTCTCGCGTTCCTTTTTGCATGGCCTTACAGCGCCACAATAGCTCCATTATAAATTACGTCAGCCGACTGTACCAGCAATGAAAACTATCCGAGCTGGGCTTTACACCGCGTAGTCGCGTGTGGCTTTCGTCAATGTGAACGTAACCGACAGTACCCGCTTGTGAAAAGCTACACGACATACCAAACCCTGGGAATTAACTTCATAGCCAATAAACCACTATTTTTATTTGGATTTCTTTTATCACCAGCACGTGTCGCGTGAAACCTGCTGCACTGCGAACGTTTCCGCAGTGGGTTTCCTTTTCTCATTCGTAAAAGAAAACCTTATTTTGCTGTGTTTATGTGCGAACCCTCATCAGAAGGAAAGTAAGAGAAGTCGCAAATGGACGACGAGTCTTCGACGGTTCTGGAATATCATATTATATTTTTATTTGGCTCCTTGTACCATCAGCACGTGTCATCGGCAAAATTCTGAAGCCTAGTTCAGTCAAATCACTCTTACGGCAATTTCTTTTTTGTAGATAAAAATTCCTTATTTTGCTATATTTACGTACGAACCCTCATCAGAAGGAAGATAAAAAAAAGGAGTCTCAAATGAACCATGACAGTTCAACGGTCCTGGAATATCATTCATACATATGTATGAACATACTGTAGTCCCCTTTTTCTGCGTTATTTCTCTCCCTATATTTTTACCTTTTTCTTGCATATAAAATACGGAAAATTTATTCTGTTTCAGATCGCCCTCCTGTGTCTGATAGTTTATACCGTAGCAGGACAAAAGGCAGAGGAGCCAAGAAAACCACGCGTTTCCGACGAACAGCTTAATGTGGCACTGAGCGACGAGCGATACTTGAGAAGACAGCTTAAGTGTGCCTTGGGAGAAGCACCGTGCGATCCTGTTGGTCGCCGTTTGAAAAGTATATTTTCCAACTTCCTATATATGTCTTTGTCAAACAGCTGCCTTGTATCTGGGTTTAGTAGCCTGATCTTCGTCATACGCAGCAACCACCAACGCGTCACTTACGTCCTTTTCCAAGATACCTGGCTGACTGTTCTCTTAAAAACTCCAGAGCCCAAACCGGATTTTAGGGAATTTGATAACTTTATCCTTTTCCAATCTGCTCTTCTTTCACTCGCAGGTCTGGCTCCACTGGTACTACGAGGTTCCTGTCCGCAGTGTAGTCCCGAGGAAACAAGACAAATTAAAAAGGTTCTTTCCCACATTCAAAGAAGCTTCCCGAAGGAATGGTCAAAGGTAGTGCAACAGTATGCCGGTGTATAAGGATTACTTTTGGTAACAACAACTTCCTTGGAATGGCTCCAGACTTAGAGAGAGGGGTAGGAACGAAAAAATGCAATAAAGAAGAAAAAAAGAGACTGGAGTAAACGAGAACTAGGATTGTAAGAAAGGATAAAGGAAAAATAAAGGAAAAGCATTGTACGCGTTTACCAAGAATTTGGAGGATGATATTTTTTCGCTATGTATATATACTATATATCTATATATATATATATATTAGATTTTATATTCACGATTCTGATTAACCGATAATGTTATAATAGTATTAAGACTCGAGAACCATATTGTACGATATTCTAAGACGTTATTACATCAGGAAATCTTTGTCATCTGAATAAGCGATGATTTTCGCATCAAAGCAGTCAAGATTTTTATGTCGATTCGCGTAAAGTTCTCGGTTTATATTTCACGAGACGACTTTGCTCGACGCGATGCAATAAAGGATGGTTCTTACGTTCCACGAGATCGACTGTAGCTTTACTTACCCCGGTTGCCCCTGTTTCGTCTTTTTATCGTTTCTCTTGATTCTGCCTCCTGGTTCTCTTGGTCCTGCGCCTTTCATTTTTATTATTTCTTTTATCTCAGCCACCCTTAAATTTTCCAATGGACTACGTACAGAGGAGAATGCAATTTTTGCGCAATTAGGTTAATGGGAGCTTTAGGGCGATCAGGATTCTCCCGTTTAGATCGTTACTCCCAGTTTACTTATTCCCTCGCGATGATTTTTCCACGATGGCGAAATATCTTGAGCCTTTCGTTGTATCTTTTAATACGTCCGAGATTGATAATAATTGCGCCAATTTTTCGAAAACCTTCTTATTACTTGCCGTCGCTCTTCTGTTCATTCCTATATCTTCCTTTCGAGCACCCAGTAAATACGTACGTACTTATCTATCGTTACTGTCCTCAATAGCAGCAACTTCTTAGGCTAGAAAAATCGATGGAAAAAAAAAAAATAGAAGCAGACGGCAAAAAAAAAGTTAGGATAAAACGGAGGAACGTAGCTCGGAAAGTTTCGGTACTTTACACGACAAGAACTCCTTCCGAGCTCACGGCAAAGTATTATCGAGAGACTTCCTCTTCTTTTACCTTACGTTTTCTAGGCAGCTTTATTTTTTACTTTTTTTTTTCACCATGATCTTTTTTATCTCGCCCCTTTCCCTTTGACTTCCGTTTTCCACTATTTTAGGCACATGCGTATTTACCTCGGAGACCTTATAGGACAATTGATATGTGGAGAATGAAATATAAGAAAAAGAGACAGAGAGGTCCCTCGAGTTTGTGTATTCTGGAGAACACGCGCCTATCGGCGGTGTCTCCAGCGTCTTGAGTCTAAACACGTTCTACGAATTGGTCTGGGCCTAAGACGCATGGTCACCTTTCTTTTTTTTAGGGTCAGAAGAGGAATATGAGAAATAAAGAGAGAGGAAGGAGAAGGAGTGACTGGAATGAAAAAAAAATTGGGGATGAAGAGAGGCGAAAGAAAGTAAATAAGTATTTTCTCAAAGGAGAAGATTACCAGTCGAAAAGGCTTAAGGAAGTTGCCTGTTGCTCCAACGAATCGGCGAGCAGCGAGGCGTAAGTAAATCCATGGGAGGTTCGCTAAGGGTTGATATACGTATAGACTACACACTGTGTACCAGATAGTTAGACAGAAGGGCTGTTGAGGGTTGAACTGGATTTCTTAATCTTCGGCTCGTTTCAACAGACTCTCCCACAGCTACCCTCGGTATCGGGACCAGAAACCTTTTCTTGGTATAACAGCTGGATATACCATGTTACTATATAAATTATACGATCCCCTTTGGTATGCCAGCCCCCTACCCTTGATGGTAGAATATTAAATAAAAACCAATATCCATCAGCGGGAACGGCTCCATTAACAGAAGGTAAGCTTATCCATACGTATATCGGGATACGAAACAAAAGCAAGCAACGTTAAAGAAATATTTTAAAATAAAAGAAAAATGGGATAGCAGAAATAATTCGACGTCGGTAATCCATCACGTCGATGGAAGGTCGTATTGTACACGAAGAAATACCAAGTATATTTTTCTGAACGGTATCAACAAGATTTTTCGAAGGCAAAAATTCGTGAAATACGGATTTTCAAAGGAAAAATATCTCCCAAGATACAGACGACAAGAAATCAATTCGTATTGATTCGTCCTCGTCGTAAATACGTCAACAGGAAGTGGCTATGTCCGAATCTAGGAAATGGACATTCGAAACATGTACAAGAGGGGATGTTTAACAGGACCTAAGGGATAGTGTGAATAGTAGCTGTAAACGCCGAAAGGACCATCGTAGCTTTACGTCACGTTGGTTTACACGTACTCTACGCAGTCTATGTAAACACATAGCATAATAGTGTACGAATTCACATATCCAATGTATGTATACATAGCAGCGCTTGTACATATGGCTAGATATGGGTATATATATCGTAGATAGCAAAACGGAGATATATGGGAGTAAACAAAGGTAAGTGAACGAGAGAGAGAGAGAGAGAGAGAGAGAGAGAGAGAGAGAGAGAGAGAGTCCATAAGGAATCCGTATAGGTTATGTACGAAGTCGAAATCAGCCACGTGACTCTAGTTACATAGAAACGTATAATACTATGTATATACGCATACACTGTTTGAATCGCCATATATATATATATATACTGGATACATAGCACGGCCTGTGGAGGGCACAAGTTAGTGTCTATATACCCGGAGATCGATAGAGGACAGAATCCCGGGACATCCCCAGCGATCCTGTTCTCTTATTCTTGCAAGAAGCGTACTCGGGCTAAACCTACTCGCACCCTCTATGCATCCCGCATTAACCCACCCACCCTTATTACTTCAAACTTCCCCCACCTGCCAAACCGAAGCAGCCAAGTCTACCGGTAGAACGGTGCTCGGAAAATTTCGATGTACACCTTTAGCCGCGCCATTCACTAGGATTTAAATCAGGTCTCGACCTCTTCTATGTTTCACGTATGTATATATGTGGCTATGTACACGGAGAAGTTACTGGGGGTAACACTCCCCTTTTGGGATAACCCCTCTCATTAGCGACATCGCCTAACGCGATTACTTGCGCAATCTGCCACCAGGAAGAAAGGCATCTGGTATTTTCGAAAGGGATGAGGAGGACGACCTGCTCCATGGGTATTAAGTGGCGGAAAGGACTTCCCTAGGATTTACTGGTCACATATCCAGAAGGGAGGATCCTGGAGAGAATTATTTTGGCTTACGGGATTCGCTTATTTGTTTCATGTATTATTGATAGTCCCTTTCTGCTCTAGGTTAGACTCCTCTTTTTCACGTTGTGTATATTAGGCCCTTTCGTGCAAGCGTTTTTTACGTGCTCCGGTGCACTGTAGGTGCGTTCGAAAATGAGCCGAGAGCGCACGGCGCGTCGTTGCTTCTCTGTTTTTTGCCATGCATTTGATCGAGAGGGAAAATGGTCTCAGCGCTCACGGCCCATTTTCGAACATACCCATAGTGTCTCGGAGCACGTAAAAACGCACGCAGGAACGGACCCATTAGCTGTTACGTCAGTTTCTTATTTGTGTTGATGTAATGGATGATATGACATTAACGAGTGTCTTCTAACCCCTGATTAACTTTTTTGTACTGTACGTTCGAGTGATTTAATTGCCACCCCTTTCTGGGGTGCGAGTGAATTTCTCGAATAGGCTTAAAGTCTCTTGCGGTGAGAGTGATCTCACTAGGGGTAGCTTGGTAATAACGACTAATTAACGCTATTAATTGAGGAGGATTTTCGGGATCCCTCGCAGAGTTTAATCCTATTTTTTCATCTGTCAGAGGGCACGTGTTTTAACAACACACGTGTCAACTGTCAAGCGCGACAAACTTCCTGGTAATATAATCGACGAGCGAGGGTCGGCTACTAATTATAAGGGTTACCGCGCACTAATCCAGAAAGTATTCGAGTGTACTCGACGGGATATCCCGAAAGCATCCCCCACAGGAAATTGTATCCGGGTAAAAGTGCCCTTTTCGAGGACAAGTGGGAGTAATGAAATCCTTACGAGCAAGCATATGTAAATGAGGCTAGGGATTTCTGGAGCGAGGGTAAATCGGGTAACGATATTGTTAAAGGAATTCCGATGGGAGGAAATTGATATTATTTCACCCCCTTTCTTTTCCCCTATATTTTTTTCATCGCAAGGCTCTTCAATATCAAAAACAAGAATGAGGATACCAAAATACAATTGAATACACAAGTACCAATGTCCAGCTGAAATGGACTTTTTTGAACGTTATCAAAAAAAAAAAGACGTACCTAACTTTCAGTTTTGGATCAGTCATTCCAAAAAAAAGAAAAAAGGTCTTGAATCGATCCAAAAGAAGGATCACGTGAAAGTATCAAGGGAGCACGTTCACGGGGAAAAAAAAAAAAAATAAACAGGATAAGCGATCTCTTTTTGACAAAAGGACAATCTCACGACAGCGGATAAGGGGAGTTTGGCGAGAGACGAAAAGGACTTTGCTAAGGGATGCTTTTCGAAGAAATCCTTACCTTTCAGGATATCTCTCAGCGTGCCAGTACCGTTTGACTGGGGATGATGTAGAGACGGGATGCCGTGGGATGAGAATAAATTCCTGGAGTCTACACGAGGGAAGACCTTAGGCAATAAGCGGAAGGACCTCCGCAGGACATCTCTACCTCTCTATACCTTTCCACCTCTTAGTCCATCGTTTATCTTCTACCTTAGAAACTTCCATTGTAGTTACTCCCACTATCACCCCCCTTCCGCTACCATCCCTCTCCGGCCCTGCCTCTTAGTCTCCTTTAGTCTTCCATGGACTCGAAATCGCTTCTCTTATTTTTTACTCTTCATAATCATACCCACAGGGGATAGTCAAGGATATCTTTCGTATAAGGGATGGCTCTTTGCATAGGCATACCTGGTACACTGTATACATCGAGGAGGCCCGAGAGGATAGAGAGGTTGGAAAGAGGCTTCCGGCCATGAGCTATCATGCGGACAGACATCTTCCTGATTAAAAACATCGATCCCACTGGAATTACGGATGTATGTATTTCCGGGTATGGACATACGTGCTTAATGCGGTGGGTAGTGGTTGGGTATGCCATTATAAGGAAACTGTGAAGTATCGCGATATCTCTTATCATACATTTCTTTATTACTCTTATATGCTACTTCACGTTTTCTATTCTGTCATATATACGTATATATAGACAGCATAGAGTACGTGCAGTACGTGAATGCGACCGTAATATATATATAGAGGTATATTGCTCTATTCGCTAGCTACTTATTCCAAGTATACGGAATTGGCTTTACTACGAGCTATTACCTGTCGATACGAATCCGCTCGCCAGTATCCTGTCTAGTATCACAAGACTAATACTAATTCCATGAAAAGAGCTATACAAGAAACGACTACACGAGTTTTCACCGTCGAAAAATTTTCGCCTCTCCAACGATCAACCGATCAATGGAAAACGCCTACGCGTTACGTTTTAGCCGAGCTCGAATTTCCCGCAGCTTTCGCTAGTTACGAGCATTTGCTGTTTACATAGAAACCGGGTGCAAGCTCGTTGAATAAATACTGTTTCGATTGTATGCCCTTTCTATCTCTCGCTCATTTTCTCTCTCTTTCTCTCTTTCCACCGCCATTGTCCAATTCGCTTTATCTTTTTCCTACATCATCCCCATTGCCGTTGTTTCCCTATGGTCGCTGCTACGCGTACCCTGTTTCTAGAGTTCCCTCTCGATCCGGCTTACCATGTCGCATTTTCAGTCGTCGCGTAACGTTGACTCTTTTTGTTTATTGTTTATCCCGTCGAAAATTTCGCTAGGCATCAAAGAACACAATCGCGAGCAATGACCAACGAACCGATAATGAATCCTCGATACACCATTTTTCCTATTCACGCAGGTAACTGTGAAGTTGCTCGCCGTGCACGTTTGCCTCGTACATTTTTTTGGGCTTTGTCTACTTTTTCCTACATGACCACCAGACTGACCATTGGTAATAGCGGCAAGAACGTGGATAACCCCGGTATGCTAAAGAGGTAAACACGGTCCACTTGGATATTCTGATTACAATGAAACCCGGTCCGTATGTAGAGTAGGCTAATAAGGGTATCATGAAATTGTCATTTAGCACTGAAATGAACTGGAGCAACTGAAAAATTTAAATACGAAATTATCTTTTGTTTTTTACAAAAAAAAATCATTTTCATTTATAAAATGCCATTTTTATATAAAGACAACGAAATAATGTTAATTCGGTATCCTCGCTATTTCTGTCTCGTTCTCCTGCAATGGTACGTTGCATACCTCGATCTCTCTCGCACTCACGAATGCTACGGGGAATAAGGAAAATTCGAACGTGTAGATTATAATAGACTCTATGAATTTCGTATAATTTTTACTGACATTATGGAAAATAATATTTTAATTAAAAATCCTATTTTCAAATTACCCACCTTTTTATCGTAAGAAGCTAAATCGAAATCGCACGAAAAATCTGTCTCTGGCTTGAGCCTCGAACATGGATTGTACAAGTGCTCGCAACGGTGAAACCATCCGTAAAATCTCATGGCATTTTCTCGCGTGCCATTCTATTATATATTCGATTTCGGCATGCAGTTCGCAACTCCAGGGGATACGTGTGTGCTCGCAGGGTGACGCGTGTGGTGGCGAAGATAAGCCCGTGAAAATACGCGCGGTCACGTATTTTATGAAATATACGAAAATTCGATGGCATTAGTATAGGCACGCATATCGCAAGCTGACAGAGTGGATACGTCCCTGGAATTGACTGTGAAATTCCTTGGACAGCATTTGTCGGTATTTCTATACGCCCCTGCGGCAACTCGCCCCTTACGATTTCCCTATACCTCTTATCTACTATTTATCCAAACTTTCTCGTCCCTCTTGGAATTTTCGTAGTCACCCGAGGGATTCTCATAGGATAGTTTTTCGCATAAGTTTAAAACTATGAAAGATTTCATCGTTTTCGAGGAAAACTATGTATAAAGTGTTATGAGGCTATATTTTATGTTAACTACTATCCGCCGTTTGATAAGCCTTACAATTTTCTCATATAAGATTAAGATCGTGAAATCGATCGTTGAGAACTTTTTTTTTTGAGTAAACTATATTTACGAGTTTCTCATTTTGTTAGGAACCTTGTCGTCGGATTGGCAGAGGGACGAGGAGAGGCTCGGATAAAAAATTACTGAATTACAGAGGGGAATGTCTGACATCCGTTTCGGATAAAAATTTCTGACGGCCGGTGCAGCTTTTCTTCCTCCCCAGAGAATTGAAAGAAGCTTTTACTCTGCCGCTACGTTGAGAGACGCGGCGAGTAGGGAAAAGAGTGATCGAAGGAGAGAGGAACACAGTGTGAAAAAGCATACGTTGAGACAAGTATCGAAAAAAAACCGAAAAATAAAAAAAAGTGAAACTTTTCTTCGAAGTCGGTATAGCGATCGTCAACCAAATAAAAAAAAAAGTGAACTGGTTTGAGGTAAAATATAAAAAAAAAAAATTCGTCTCTACGTACCAAACCCGTTATTTTTCTTTTCATTGAATTTCAAATCAAGTTGTAACAGCCCAGTCGCGGTACGTCAGGCCAATGAGCGGCAGTATGATTAACGCTTGGCAATGCGATTTCTACCTTATCGTCTCGCATTGAGATGGAGCCAGTGACGTATCTAGTAAAAGAGGATTTGAGGGACGTATAGCAATTTCGTAATTTCCGATTGGGCGAGCGTGTAATCGGGTAGGTATAGGTTTCGTATTCATAGGGTGCTGGAAACACGAAATAAATTCAGCCCCTCGCAACACACGTTAATTTAATAGAATTTTTCAGCTAATTGAATTTCACGATGTTGAAAAACCTTCGATGTCGACGGACCCCCTTCCCCTGTTATTTACGAATATCCCGCCACCCCAGCGCCCCCTACAACCTAATAAGAGGTATGGCCTGATTGGTATGGCCAGAGCAATCGGTTATTTTCCTACTGCTCCTACGAGCCTTGATTGTAAATTTTCCAAAACTCATAACAAATGCAGCGCGCTTCACGATTAATGGTAGGCGAGAGCTTCTCACCTTCTCAGTTTCATGCGAAAAGTATTAGCCCAGATTTATAAGGCACGGTATATGTATATTCGTAAAGGGTAAGGGTTCGACGTGGGGTGAAAAACTGGATGGGCCAGAGTTATTCAAATTTACAAGAATCGGCCTACCACCAATCGATCGTCTTTAGATTGAATTCTGACTATAAGAATATTTCACGTTATTCCTATTACTCCTCGATTATTATTCAATCCAAATGCTGTTTCAGCGTTTATATCGCTCAAGGGAAAACTTTTATATCGTATAGGCAGACAAAACTTTACGAAGATTAGAACTTCGGTCACGATCCTATGTCGAAGCAGAAGGTGACGGAAAAAAAAATATATCAATAGGGCCGATAGTGTATAACTTATCATAATTTTTTTTTTTAATTAAGTAAAGGCGAACCTTCGACTGTATTTTTATCGAGTGAAAAAAAATCTTTGAAAATCGACCATTACTCCAACTGCACCACGGGCGGAGACAAAAATGCATTTTGAAAAGGCGACAGGACGGAACGTTGCTTCTGGGTACTCTAGCGTGCTAATGTCTGGTACATCGGAGTAGCTTATATGCTCGTGAGAAGCGTCAAGGATGTACGTGGAAAAGCTACATAACAAATAGAATATATTATATAGAATAACCATTAGAATCGTCGAGCGCGGCGGACCTGCGCTCTGACGTACGTCGAGGTAACGGCGTCGGGACGCTCTTGCGTCGCGACGACGCCGAAAGCTGGCACCTCAGTACACGCGGCTCGACGCCCGGGGATGCGTCTGTCGTCGGGATCTCGAGGATTTCTAGCTAACGGAGAGACGAGAGAAATTTCACGATTACGTCAAGACTAAATACATATTATATACGTATATATATTAATCCCAAATGTATATACACGTATACACCATAAAGATAGACAGGGACACGCACGAAGTAAACATTAAGATAAAAGCATAGATACCCACGTATGAAAACGTACATACAAATCATACGAATTGAACTATAATGATAGAAATTTGCCACGAGGTAAATTACAATTTTAGCGATAACTTCCGTTTTATAGGATTACAAAATTTATACCTTGACTCTCGGTCCACGCGTGTAAGATTACTCGTTAGATCGGTTTCTCAGTGGAGTTAACAAATTTCATCTGGAAAATCCGTATAATCCCTAAATAAAATTCGTTCATCCCACCAGGAGTGAGCTAACCTATCAGATTGCCGACTGGCTCGATTGGTCCCGCGAGTAAACCTCAAAGTCGACAATTGCCATGAGAATCCCGGGATGTCTGTGTTATTAGAACGGTATAGAGTACCCAGCCTTATTTCTAGCGTTAATTTAAAAAAGTTGAATATTCTTTGCCCCAATAACAGAGCCCGTGCCAAATCTGATAGAGACTATTAAGACGATATATCGTCTATAAAATAATCTCAGATGATCATGGAATGTATAAAGTTACTTAATTAAACTTAATCGTACCAATATAAATTAGGAGTTATCGGTACCGCGTGCCATGTATCATCGGTAATTGGTAACGTCTAGCAGCGCGATAACAAAGCGTCATATTGACAGGGAACTTTAACTATTATTCTAATTAACATTAATTCACCTGAAATACATGGTTAAGCGATTGCCGATGTAACCAAGGGTAGTAACGAGGCTGATTACTTGCAGAATGAGGGTGGCATGGCTATTACTATGCTGGTTCCTATCGGAGGACTGGATTGGCGATCTCAGTACTGTAGCATTAACGAGTGAGGTGGTGCAGAAGGAGGAATTGGAGGAGTCGTCAGAGATTCAGGAAGTAGCTGAGGTGGTTGAGAATTATTCGTCCTCGACCTCGTCTGTACTGTCGGCTACTCACTTCAATGGTAAGGTCCTACTATGGTACAGTCCCCTTTTCAACTGTGTGCTTCCGCTTTCGAAGCAGCTTCCGGTCCCATTGTAGACCTCGAATCCATTCTCAGAGTTCAATCTCGCGAGGACAGCTTACAACTCTCCGGGTACCTCTCTATCCTGGGTATCCTTTTGTCATCAGATGTAGCATGTGCTCGTCATTCAAGCTGCATTCTGTAAAATTTACGTATTCGGATATATACATATGCATTACGAGTTACGTCCCTATACACTTGCTGCAGCAATGATTCGAAATTAGAAATTTTTGAAAAATGAAAAACATAAATGAGCAGCAGGTACGTTCTGAAATTCGCTGTCAATTCTACGAGCGTCTTTGTATTTATATTTGTCTGTATGCAAGCGATTGTGACGTCATCGTGCTAGCAATACTGACAGGGAATTTTGGAAATTTATTCCAGTATATGATCATTATTTTTTATACGTTACCAGAATCAAATACGACAGCCTGTTAGAAATTTGTCTTGTCAAAAAATTCAATTCTCCATGTGCCGTTACCAACGAGAAAACGGTCCATCCGTCTCTCGTATTCTCTTGCAATCTAATTATTTTTAAATTGCCAATTCTCTGGGATTACCGCGACCCTTCAATTTTCCATCTTCTTTTTCGAATAGTTCGAACACTGCTGGTACTGTGTACGACTCCCGCACTGTGTACGACTTGCGCAGGTTTTTGCGAATTCAAATCGGCTTCGGATATCTATACTAGTAGTAGCTGCAGTAGCTATCCTGTTAAAAGAAAAAAAAAAGATTCTTAGAGACAAGGGGATCAAAAAATATTGACATGCATATACGAGCTACATTGCTATATAGATATGGTACGTGCAGGTACTATATTAGATATACATATAGAAAAAAGATTTTGCGCTCTACGGAGAGAATTTTTTTTTCTTAATTTCTAATAATGATCCACAATGCGCAGATAATGAGTTGCCAACTTTTTTTCCTATCTATTTGCTTGAAAGACGAGCGTTTGAAAATTTTGCAAGTTTCACCCGGGCTTTAACTAATCGTCCCCGTCAGACATTTTCCCGTGTCTCGTTCTCTCGCACACTTTTCACCTTCGCCTCTCTCTCGTTCTCCCCCTGTTTCCTCCCAGCAGTCCCTTCTGTCGCACCTGTTGCAAATTAAAATGCCGTTCTAACCCTTGCCGTGGTGATTAACCTGGCGAACTTTATCAAAGGGATACAAACATAAAGAATAACGTCCTTGGGAATGTTACAAAAATCGTATAACTTGTCTGCGCCTAGGCTAGTGAGTATTGCCGTAGACAGAAAAAAAAGAGACAGGAAAAAAGAAAGAAAAAAAAATGAGACGGATACAGAAAAAACTCGCTGACAGAAAAAAAATCCAACGTCAAACGGATACGAGGAGAAAAAGCAAACGAAAGGAAGAAAATAAGACGAAAATATAGATAAAGAAAAACTAATCGCGGTGAAACGTAAAAAAAAGGGCGCTCGACGTAGGAAAACCCCTTGCCGAACGAAACGCGACACTCCGAGTAAGTTGAAGTGGCATGGCCGTGGGAAGTTGTCGCGTCTTTGAGGATGAGAGATATTAATTAAACTGTCAGCGACACGAGAAGTGCCAACTTTATTTCGCCACTTACGAGTTCAGCTTTAGCTTTTGCGTTGCTGCTCATTCTGTACCCCGTGCATCATTTTATCTGCTCTGTCTCTCTCTCTCTGTTTCTCCTACCACCAGTACCCCGTCTCTCTCTCTCTCTCATACACATAACAAGAATATTATGCGCATGCTACAACTCGTGCGGCTCTTCTTATGATTGCATGTACACGGGAAATGAAAATGGTAGATGAAAATGAGGGGTGGCAACTGTCTAGCTAACTTCGCATATTACTACTGCCTCAGATAAAATTACCTAGAGAAATAGTGCGGACGTCGTGATTTCTACCATCGGACTATTCGAATTCGATTAATTAAAGTTTCGAGGCTCTGCCGTGGAAAGTGGAATTATTGCCGGGTAGCACCTTGCACATTTATCCACGTCCGCTCGGTAAAACTTTGTCGAGAATCGATTTCGAGGACCACCCTTTGTCGGATAGCGGAAACGTGGGTTGTTAGTGTTACTTGTGTCATCGACAGTGACACCAACATCCTACATTTTTAACTAGAAGACTATTCGCAGTTTCGACTTTGTTTGTCTTACATAAATACGCAATGCAGTTTGAATTTATTATATAACACACATGCCACGTCCATTCGATTACGAGGATAGTCGGATTCTCGAAGGAGAGGAATGGGAGTAAAAAAATATTTTTTTTCTACCCACTTCTTTTTTTTTCCTTCTTAGGCGACATTTGGCGATGAAGAAAATTCTCAGACGGATTCCTATTCCTCCTCGTCCTCCTCCAGACTCACTTAACCCCTTCGTTGAAATATATTAAATTTTTTCTCAACTTGCCAGGAATCTATCTTCTCGCTGGCAATCGTACCGAAAACAGTTGACACGACATAGATTGATATAATTTTATGAATAATAATAATAATCTATTCATATACTAACGCTAGACAACCAATTTTCATAAAATTGACGGATTTTGAATGTCTTTTTTCAAATTACAGAAAGTATATACTTTTTTACAAATATATGTTTACTTATGTCGAGATAAAATAATAAATACAAATGCCAATTTATTTTTCATCAATCACTCCAATTTCAAAATTCCCATATACAGGATATCTAAATACGCCAAAGACAATGCTAATCGTTCCAGCTTTAATACTCGCCATTTGACATGTCGAGCGAATCGAGGAGAAAGTTGCAGCTCGTGTCGTGATTTTAGTACTTAATAATATTACAGGGTATATGCAGTAACGTGGATACACGAGTTAGTTAGCTAATTGTATGCAAAACTTTCAGACAAATAATGCCCGCAGATGTTGAAGGATCATCTAATTCAGAGAGTGGTTTTGCAAAGTTTTTATTTTCATAAATTTATCCCATAATTAACCAGTAGAAATGGTAAACAATTCCCATTGAATGCCAATGTTCCCACTCGTTTCCGATGAAAATTTTCAATCGCGTCGTCGCTTCTCCAAACAAAACTATATCCTGGAGCCTCGTCAGGTCTCAAGTAAACCGGGACGGATATGCTCAAACATACCAGAGCTTAATTAACTAGCGATTTAAACAGTTATGGTCTAAACGAAAATTTTCCCAATATTAACTTAAACTTTATTATCCGAGTTGTCTGATGTGCATAAACTCTATTAACAAACCGTCAACCCTCCAGAACCAGTGCTGCTTTCCATTCAGCTTTTGCCAGTTATAACCAACCCTTAACAGCACCACCAGCATTACTTCCAGTATAATACCAGTGATAATACCAGGAGCAGTAGCAGCAGTACCACCGGCACCCCCAGTATATCCCTCCAGCCACCCACTCCCTCTACCCATTCAGTGGCTAGGTTACCGGATAAAAATCTTTTCGCGACCTCGTACTACCGTAATAAATATGTAAACGAGACGGTGGCACCATACAGAAAAGGGTACAGAGAATAGCGGTTATTCGTATGCTAACCGCATCCCTATCCCGATCAGGATAATTCGAAGGTTGACGTATAAGTAAATATGTACCAAATTTGAGGTAAAGCGAATATACATGTATATCGGAATACGGCAATATATATACATATACCTGATGTTTAATATTTGCTCAAAAGAAGCCTGTTCGATGGATCACAGTTTTACGGGACGAAGAGTGGGTAAGGAGAATTTGGGTCCTGGTGGTATTTTTTTCTCGACGAGATTTAGCTACCCCAAAGATAACCCTCTCCTCCCTTCTACCCCGACCGTTTACCACTTCGCCGGTATACCCTTGCCCTCTCCCATACTTCCTTTGTAGTAGCCGTTTCCTGCGTTCTCGTAACCCCATGGAATATTCTCAATTCCGCACGGTCGGGACGGGAGTTGCCGCGATGTGGTAGCTCCCCCCCCCCCCCCCCC